CAGAACACCCCCTCAAATAGTTTCGAAAACATCCGGTTTTAGGTAGGTATTTGAAATAAATCGTATTCTCAGAGACAACTGCTGGACGTACAATTACAAGATTTTTGATTTAAATCTAAGATAACCATCCYACTATAAAACCACTTATTATACAGTTATACAGTCACCGACCGTGATGGTTATATTACATTATATTTATATTCTAATGGCGACTGTATTTTTATTATTTAACATTATTATCGTAAAAGCGTGACTAAATGTCTAAATTGGTAGTTCATATTTTTGAAAAACATCGATTGGAATTTTATAAGAATATCGATTTTGAAAAATCTTAATAATCATCACGTTTCATACGATCTAAATCGGAAACTTATATCAGAATAACATTCACGTGAGCTTGAAATACCTGTTGGATGGACAATGTAGCTGCATTGATGTCAGCCCGTAGTGCTCGTAGCTGGTCATCGCCAACGCTTCGCAGCTGATCGAGCTGCGCGCGTAACCACTCGGCGCGAGCTCGTCGTGCCCGCCTGACCGCCACGGCCGCGGCCCGATCCCTGTGTAACTCTTCCCTGCGAGCCAACCATCCTGCCTCCTCTTCGAGCAATCCGAATTCTACATCTTCGTATAGCTACAAGACATTCACTAGCATTACGTAAACATATATRTAAAATATACTATTATCGTCAGCAAAAAAATTAATCGTGTTAGTCGTCGACCGCGACATTGTTTTCACGAATCGTTACAATATAATGACGTATTATGTTATTGTATATTAATATAATATTATTTTGAAACATTATTGATATTATTATACGTCTCACCTTTTGTTCAGCATCCAAYAGTTCCGTCTGTTTGTCGATGGAAGCACGTATTTCAGATTTCAGCACGTCGTTGTCTTCGATCGATTCTAACCGCTTCCGTAACCTATGACGATTATTGATATATTATATATTATTATTATCCATAAAAGCATGTAAATTGTAATAAACTGTGGGCGTACACTATTTAGATACTGTAATTAGATTTTATAAATGTGGTGCCGGGTGGGTGGTGTAATATAGTTAGTGGTGTAAACACTGTGAACGAAAATATTAGATCTATTATACGAGATAGTAACTGTGGCACA